ATCACTCTAATTAGTCCTCAGTTATCTCACAGGTGTTACTAATCACTCTAATTAGTCCTCAATTAACTCACAGGTGTTACTAATCACTCTAATTAATCCTCAATTAACTCACAGATGTTACTAATCACTCTAATTAACCCTCAACTAACTCACAGGTGTTACTAATCACTCTAATGAATCCTCAATTAACTCACAGGTGTTACTAATCACAATGATTAATCCTCAATTAACTCACAGGTGTTACTAATCACTCTAATTCATCCTCACTTAACACTCACAGGTGTTACTAGTCACATTCATTAATAATCAATTAACACTCAGAGGTATTATTCTTCACATTAAAAAATGTTTTCGCAACTCAACACTAGAAGTAAACCTGTTGATGTCACATCACATCACATGTTAATGTTTAATTTTCACTAATCACTGAATTATAGTAGCCTACACTGTGTACACACTGTAGTACATGTCTCCAGATAAACAGATATGAATCAAAGGTTTATACGATAGTTATACCCGCTTTACCTCCTGAGCCACAGTCGACCTTTCTGGTGCTGGTAAGATTTACAGAGCAAGGATATTACCTTGAGGAAGTTGCTATTGTTATGCAACTGCAGTAATAATCATTATTGTTTCAGTGTTGTTAAAGATGAATGATGCAGAGACTGTCAGAACAATCATCAAACCTTCTACATTTTACAACCAGTCACATCCAGTGTTATGAACACATTTTTGTAATAATTGTGCTCTTCTTTTAAAATGTGTTATTGAAATTCACATAAATCATAGATGTAAACCCAGTGAAAAAAGAAATGCAGCCATGCTTCCCATAAAGCTGGTGCTTGATGGTGCTTTGTATCGTTAGTCTAAGGAGAAACTAGGCCATTCATTCATTCATTGTTGTGCATGATGAGATGATGGTCACACAACAGCAAAGACCCATATCACATGTTTATACTGAATGTATTGTATTAAGCTATAATTGTGCTATATGCTAAATGCAAACGTAAGCAGTCAGTATAGCTTTTGTACTCTGTGAATATGAATTTGATAAAACTTTTAATAACATATTTCATTCATGTCTCCAGAGTCTATTGGCAAAACGTCTTTGCATATAACATATTCATGCATCTCAGCCTTGGAATAATGGACAATATTAACCTTTATTTGAATCAGGGACTCAAACAACACAGCATGCAACTTGAGGAATTTAATTTTATGAAATTGGCAAGAGTAATTTTA